TTCTTATGACCTGTAACTCCACAGAAGAAACAACCACCTTCAGTTGGTTCCTTATGCTATTTCTTTTGCGGTGTTGAACCCGCAGTTTCCTTATTAATCTTATTTTCTTATTCCTTTTGTCCTTAGAGGTGGTGGCTAAATGAGCATTTTCTGTCTTCTCATATTTCAATATTTCCTCTTCTTGGACACAGTGTGAGGTGAGTTCATTAAGGGACCATGAATTTTTTTGACAGTTGTAGCTCACCTTGAATTGACTGAAATGTACTGGAAGGGATATCAAAACCAAGTGCACTAACAAGTCTTCGGATAAATCCAATTTAAGTGCCTTTAGTTTTGAAGCAATGTGAGACATTTTCATAATGTACTCCCGAATGTTTCATTTCCCTTTATACCTCATCAAGATAAGGTTTGCCAAAATTGTGCTTGTTTTAGCCTTTTCATTCTTGGCAAACCTCTTCTCAAGATCCACAAGGAAACCCTTAGCCATAGTCACCTTATCGGACATAGTGCCCTGGAATGCTTCTGGAATAGCACGCTTCATGACCATTAAGCTTATGTGGTTCGATCGTTCCCACTTTTCCATCCATCTCTTGTCATCAAAAGTACTCTTATCAGTAAGTGCAGTAACTTGATCAACCCGTAAAGCAAGATCCAGGTCTATATCTCCGAGAACAATCATCATGTTCTCTTGCCATGTCCTAAGTTTGTGTCATTTAGTATTGGAATTGAATTGATACTAACAGAGATATTAGCAGCAGAACTTGAAACTGAATTAGAGAATGATTATTATGAATAGCTCACACGAATATCTTTAATACGTAAATAATAATATTCTAAATAGTGGTAGGGCCTATCATAAGATACCTAGCACAACATCAATATCTAGTCGTTGGACAAAAATATTAACTTGTAAGCGAGACTCTTGGCGTAGTGATCAAACATTGACAATAAAATAATGTGTCAATCAATAAACTTTTCTTTGGACCGATTTATTAATACACATTAAACCAAATAATCGTCACATGTTTATCACCACAGGTACACGTGTATTCGACTAAATATTGACCTTCTTTTGGACCGACCAATATTCCCATGAATAACACATGCACAAACACCTTTTAATAATCTAAGTTAATTAATTTTCACAAGAGATGTTGTTTTGGCAACATGTTGCTTCAATTAACTAACTTTCGAACATTATATCTCTTAAAAGAGTCTTTAGTATCAAAATTTGAGAGAATCACCAATTTTGCATATTTTGTTCAATTTTAAACTTTAGGGGCTTTAGGATTAATAATTCAAAACTTTAAGGGGGCAAAATTAATTAATTCCAAACTTTAGATGTTGAAATTAATAAACTTGAAACTTTATGGACCAAAATTAATTAATTCAAAACTTTAGAGGATCAATTAGAACAAATTTAAGACCTTAGGGGCCAAAAATTGACCAATTCAAAACTTTAAGGATCAAATTTTGAAATTTTGAAACTTTGGGGGGGGGGCAATTTGAATTAATAATTAAAGTTTAAGGGCTTTCATTATAAAATTCAGAACTTTAATGGCCCGAATTAATTAATTTTTAAACTTTAGGGACTGAATTATTAAATCTAAAACTTAAAGGCCCAAACTTGAATAGACCTTAAATGTTAGGGACTGGAACCTTAATTTTATAACCCTAACCCTAATTGCAAGCAGGGGCCTCAAGTTATCCAATTTACAGGAGAAGCCACGTCCCCAAATCTCCAAAAACTGAAACCCTAAGATTTTTTTTTTTTTTAATCCACACAATTCGAATCCAAAACCAAAAATCCATAATCTAAATTTTTTTTCATCTTTTAATTCGAATAATGAAAGATAATAACAAAAATCTACCGCAAAAGTTTTCAAATTCAACAAAATATAAATCCAAAATTGTTAAATCTAAAAACTTCAAAAAATATTGCAAGGACCAAATAAATTATTCGATTCTCAATGATTCAACATGAAAATACTCTAATACCACTTGTAGGATAATTTATTATCTTAAACCACCGGATCTTTCATCTTAAATCATCAAGAAATTGAAGAACTATAGCGGAAGCGTACCTGAATCAAACATGATTATTTGCAATAATGAATCCTGCAATATAGTCTTCCAAATCTACATGCAGTCTGTAATTCTCTCTGGCGATGAGAGACAGAATAGAATGAGCAAAAAACACGTGTGATTTGGGGACCATAACCGTATTTATATAGCAATACCTTTTGATCTAATTTGGTTCATCATAGAATTAGGACTTGGGCCCGACTCTACACATATAGAACCCACACTTTAATTGGATACATTAAAGTCCAAAATCGAAACCTTTTTAGATCACTTTTAACTGGGCTTAATCGAATTCGATAGTTTTTAATTTAACACACAATTATTCACACATATAAGCCTATCTATTGATTAAAAAAAATCCTTACAATTCAACCATTTCAAAAAAAAAAAAAATCATTTTTTTTTAAATCAGAAATCCAGATTTTGCCACGTCAAATCTTGTCAACCATCATTGTACAATTAGATTAATTCTACTTCAATGAAATTACTAGGAGAGAAACTACAAGGAGAGAAATTTTGGAAAGCGATCTATATTTCTTGAAGTGGAAACAAACAAGATTTCTGACCGTTTTGAGCTATAAATTTGGAGAACTCAAAGAATGGCAATATAAGCCCGAAAGCCAGCCATGGGCACACAACAACAAGTCATTTAGTTTGTTTGAACGTGGAATTGGATCCATCGTTGAAAGCTTTTCCACTGGTAAAGAATAGTGCAGTGCGAATGGCAACTCAACTCAGTGATTGCCAATTTAGAACCTTTTGCCATGTGCATGAAAGCTTGTAGGTTACATTGGATGTTGATAATGATGCTTATTTTTTTCTTGTTGCATTAAACATGTGAGAAAAAACGAGTAATTTATGTGTAGATACATTATTAATTAAAATACATAACATAATAAAAAGATGAGAGTTAGGAAGTAAGCTTTAGGGAATTACATCAAGGACGCTACATTAAAGTTTTGCCTCCCCTTTGTGCGGGTAATTTTGACACACGTGCTGATATTGCTAATTAGGAATAGTAAATACCACTTAGGTGCATGTCTTCAAGTTGCACATGGATTGCCAAATGCTTAGAAACATATCCAACAAAGGGTCGAGAACAAGTTTGGAGTCGAGACCACAAACAAGAAGTTGAGAAAGAATAATACTATAAAAAGGCTTTTTATATCTAACGAGATTCAGATAAAGTCTCTTAATCAGAGATTACACATAAACAAACCAAACACAACTTTAGATTGTTGAGGAAAAGCAAATGATTTGTGTGTAGAGATACGTTATCAATCCACAATTAATTACAATAACACAACATAATAAAAAGATGAGAGTTAGAAAGTAAGTTTTAAGAAGTTACGTCAAAAACACTATCCTAAAATTGTATTGCCTCCTCTTCATGTGAATACTTTCGGCATTGAACGTCTCTAAGATGAAACTCATATAGTTCATTGTCAAATCTCCTTCAATGATCACGACCACGTGAAAATCAAGAGCAAGCCTTAAAGAGTTGCCAAAAACTATATAAATATAATATGAAGAGTGTGAAAATTCATTTTCCTAGTTATATCAAACAATAAAATATCTCATCCTTTTATAGTGTAAATTCCAACCCCACATTCATGGAAAAAATTAATGTTTTTAATTTTGTAGAAAATCTGAAAATTAAAAACATAACCCCAAAAAAAAAGGTATTAATTTTGAAAATTTAAAACTTTTAATTTCAAATGCATACACTTGAATAATTTCATCAATAAGAAAGAAATTGACAGCCAAAACCACAGCTTGCGGCGAATAACGTCAAAGAACTAACAGATCGTCGGTTACAACATATGACATTATAGAGATAAAGCGCGCCATTTTTACAGCTTTAGCGTGCCTTCAACATTTACCGGGCATGCACCTCAATATAAAGCAGGTACATATTCGATATTTTCACTTTTCTTGGTCCATTTTATTTGAAATACGAAATCCTTAATTTTCAAGAGCCGAAGATAAATTTTGTAGTGCAGGTTTTTCAGCAATTGAAGGGTGCGAATGAACATTTAGACATAAACAAGAATCTATTCAACAAAGAGCGTTACTTTTGGATGCTCATGATCTGGGTGTTGATACTTAGTATTGGACACGATTGAACAATATAATTAATGAGATTGTATATTCTTTTTTATTTTTAGTATTGTCTTGTACTGTCTAATCCAGTTTCGTTAAAAAAAAAAAATTATTATCTTTTTTTGTTATATATGTAATTTTCTAGGCCGAGAATACAACAATATGATGTTGAGATTCTTGATCTTATATTGAAGAGTCCTTTTGATTTTTCCTTTTCCTTGACGCACAACCAGATTCGCATTGCCTTATGCTTTTTTTATCTTGATATAATTTGATACTTTAAAGTTTCTCCAATCTACTTTATTTTTACCTTTTTCTTAAACAACGAGAAGGGTTAAATTTCTTCACAATACTCCGTAGCATTACAACGAAAAAAAATTGCATATTTTTAATGAATCAATCTAGTGGTACAAACTTTGTTTACAAACTAATTGTTGACAAAATCTAAACCATTAATTTTAAAAACTATTTTTTACATGATTGGCCAAAATGTTGTGAATACATAGTTTGTAAATCAAATTCTCTATTTAGGAGAAATTTGATTAGAGAGAAAGGGAGAAGCATTTGTGCAAAAGAAACACGAAATACAACAAAAGAAAATAGTTGGAGGTGCGAGGAATCGAACCCCGTGCCTCTCGCATGCGAAGCGAGCGCTCTACCATATGAGCTACACCCCCTTGCACGTGCTGTTCTTGGAAGGTAAAGTCTTGTTTAGATCCATACCCTAACTTTTTCAAGCTTTTTCAATTATCCATTCTAATCAACCGACCCCAAGACCCATCTACAACGTTCCAATACAAAATTAACCCGCCTCGACAAAACGACACCGTCCCCCAAACCTTCCTCCAAAACGACAAAACCCCCCTCGAAAATTCTCCTCTGAAGAAAATCCGTTCACAGCCATGGCAGCACCAACTGACGCAAATTCCTCATCCTCTTCTTCCATTTTCTCCCTCAAAAACTCCCGCCCTCCAGACGACACCGTTTTCTATTCCATCTTCCCCGACTCCTCCCTCACCGCTTCTGCCGCTGCCCCAGAAGAACTTCAATCCCTCCACCCCCAAATCCTCAACCACCTCACACCCTACACTGCTCCATACATATGGCAACACCAACCTTTCACTCTTTCTCCTTCCTTCAACCCTGTTCCCCACCTCTCCGGCCACCTCCGTTTTGGGGACAATCTCGAGGACGAGTGGTTTGTTGTCTTCTTATTGTT